GACACCGGCTTACCGTGTGTGTGTGTGTGTGGTGTGTGTGTGGTGTGTGTGTCAGTGTGTGTGTATGTGTGTGGTGTGTCAGTGTGTGTGTGTGTATGTGTGTGTGTGGTGTGTGTGTATGTGTGTGGTGTGTCAGTGTGTGTGTGTGTGTCATGTGTGTGTGGTGTGTGTGTCAGTGTGTGTGTGGTGTGTCAGTGTGTGTGTGGTGTGTGTGTCAGTGTGTGTGTGGTGTGTGTGTCAGTGTGTGTGGTGTGTCAGTGTGTGTGTGTGTATGTGTGTGTGTGGTGTGTGTGTATGTGTGTGGTGTGTCAGTGTGTGTGTGTGTGTCAGTGTGTGTGTGGTGTGTGTGTCAGTGTGTGTGTGGTGTGTGTGTCAGTGTGTGTGGTGTGTCAGTGTGTGTGGGGGGGGGTTAATAATGAAACTAGGAAGGAGACCATGAGAGGAGAAAAGAGTAAGGGATGGGAGGCTATGAACACACACAGCAGAAGGGAGGGATCCCTGGAAGAAGACAAGGACCCACAAGACAGGAAGTGGGAGGGTGGGTGAGGGGGTCAATGGGAGGGTAGATGAGGGAGTCAATTGGAAGGGTGGGTGAGGGGGTCAGTGGGGGCTGAGGGGGTCAGTGAGAGGATGGGTGAGGGGGTCAATGGGAAGGGTGGGTGAGGAGGTCAATGGGAAGGGTGGGTGAGGGTGTCAGTGGGGGCTGAGGGGGTCAGTGAGAGGATGGGTGAGGGGGTCAATGGGAAGGGTGGGTGAGGGGATCAATTGGGGGGTGAGGGCAAAGCAAACAAAGAATAATGATACGTGTATATGTACGTATCAGAATGAAGCCCATTACTGTGTAAGCCAACTTAAAAATTAACTTAGAAAAACAAAACTTAGTTAGTCTACTCCACCTAATAAAATAAAAGGAAATGTGATCTTGTCTCTCATACGTTTAGCTTTAGAGATCTCTCCACTCCCATTTCTCAATCTGCTCATCACCTATGTTAGTCAGCCTGCATGTACTGCAGTGGCCATGGAGGAGACTGTGTCTCCAGACTCTGGACTTCTAGCAGTCAGGACAAGGCCTAAGAGTCCACTCAGGGCAGCTGGAAGGGAACTATGTCCACATATCCATGACTACCTTCCCACAATTCTTTCTCCTCACATTGGTCAGTGGGTTCAGCCTCTGGCCGTGCATCTCCTCTTCTGCATCTTGTAAGCATTTCTGTTGCTGTCTGTCACCGGGAGTCCTTGCTTCTATCTTGTCTCTGAGTCACTGCTCACCCTTGAGGATGCTCCTTTTCCATCAGAAGTCTTGAAGTTTTCCTTGTGGTACATCTACCTCTTTTGACATCATATCATTGGAACAAGTTCCCCAGGCTTCCTTGAGGCTCTAGACCGACATCTTCTGGAGTCTGCAGCAACTTCCTTTCCAAATTGACACCACCACCATGGCCAGGTAGACCCCTTAGCTGATCCATTGTTGAAATGTGGGGAGTCCTTAGAGGTAACTCCTGACTTCTACTCTCTCACCCACCCTTCACAACGGCCTTTGAAATGTCTTGTGTAAACCTAATTCCAAGGTTCACAGTCTGGAAACAACTGTGGCCCAGTGGTTAAGTTTTTCTAGACATCTTACTGCAAACCTTTGTTCATACTTTTTCAAAGGCAGGACAGAGTAACTGGGAGAGATATATGATATATTTTCATTAACAGAAGGAGAGGATCAACACATAGATTTATCTCTACTGTGTTAGTGGAAGATGTCCTTTCTTTCTTTAAAAATAGTGTAAAACCAATGCCGGTAAGATGCCCATTGCCTTGGTGGCACATAACAATTCTCCCACCTGAGTAATCCACATTGTTGTTCAAGGTTTTAGACAAAAAGGCTAGAGTAAAGAGCTGATCTTGCCGGGCGGTGGTAGCGCATGCCTTTAATCCCAGCACTCGGGAGACAGAGCCAGGCAGATCTCTGTGAGTTCGAAGCCAGCCTGGTCTCCAAAGTGAGTTCCAGGAAAGGCTACACAGAGAAACCCTGTCTCAAAAAACAAAAAACAAAACAAACAAACAAACAAACAAACAAACAAACAAGCAAAAAGAGCTGATCTGCTAGATCATCCATCACTTGCCATTCTGACTTTCAATTTATGCTTTAGTTTTGAAATGGACAGTATTTCAGTTTTTTTCCCTGTCATTTAGGAAATCAATGTCCAAAATATATTTGTGAAAACTTCAAAACAAAGTTCTTATTAATCAAATAAAAAAATTCATTGGCAACTGTCCTTCAGTGGGGTAGGTCTAATACTGTGTTGTAAATGAAGACTTGAATTAAAACAAATATTGTCTATTAAAATGTTCAAAAGAAACCTGTTAAAGCAAAGCTGATAATTCCTGTGACAGAATATGTTTTCCCTTTATAGGTAAAGAAAATTTCACATTACAGGAACTAGATGTTAGAGCCCTTGTCTTTAATACTAGGGATCTAATAATCTAAGCCTTGATACTTTTGAAATATTAGTAAGACTACTTTTTCATGTCCTTTTTTTCTGTTTGCATTTTTAAAATTTTATCCTAAGACATTCAAAGGTTTTTTTTTCTAAATCAAAAATGTAAAATGTATTTTTAGTGACACTTAATACATAAACATGAAGAATTCTACCAATAATATAGATTACACCAGAGTAGATGGCACCGTTATTAATAGGAATTATGTCTGAGGAAGAAAAAACACTCTTAGAAAGTTGCCACCAAAATAATTCAAGATGTGTTACAGTGCACATTTCTGTGGATGGATGGATAGTGAGATAAATGACTGGATACTTACCTTGAGGCAATCCCCTCGTATGACCAGGGATGGCTGAGTGGGCATACGGGAGTCGGCCATTAACGGGGGTCTAAAGATCTGTGATACCGCTGGCTGACCTCTGCTGTGTACGGTCTATAGCAGTAATGAGGGAGGAAAGGGCGTCCCCACAACACCCATTACTGATTACAAACCTCTTAAGCAATTTTCTATCTCTAACTAACATCTTAATGTGTGCAGGTGTCTTCACACATTTGTATGTATGTAATTACAAACCGGCTTTTAGGTTTGAGATTTGGGGGCATTGTATTGTCTCCCACAGTATTAGACAAAGCATATATGTTTCATAGTCGCACACATATTAAGTAGAATACAAGCTTAATTGCGGCATGTATGTTTTCTGTCTATGGGTAGGGCCGGTTTTAGCAGCAGTTGGTGTAACAGAAAGGAAAAATAACCCACAGAGTGAGAGGTGGGTGGGGTGCCCCAGAGAATTGCAGACATGGGCGGCACAGCATGGACTCTCTGTGGCAGCTCCTGAAGGCTTCATCCCTCCTGCTGAGAAATCAGTGGATCTGCTAAGAGCTGGCAGTGTGCCCTCCAGCTGCTTCAGGACATGCCTCTCCAGTGGCACACACTTGCAGAGCAGAAACCCAGGACCAGCCCTGAGAAGGACCATGCTACAGTATGGCCCCTTTACAGAAGCCAGGGGTGACATTTAATTTATCACAGCCCCCAGGTGCCGCTCTCTGGACTTATTTGGTGAGTTATTTGGAAAGGATACAGCCGAGGGAGCTCAGCACAGTGAGTCGCCACTTGCAAGACTTTTACTTTTTGGCAAAGAAGTGCAGCCGGTTTCTGTTCAGTTTGGTTTGCAGTCTGGATACTGTTTTCAAACTAAAGCAATGGCTTTGACTGTCAAACCTAGGACTTGTTAAATAATCAACAACAAAATGACTGGCAGCTTGTATGGGTACGAATGCAAACACTGGTTACAACTCACAGAGGCAATGCGCCATTTTCACAAAACATTGCTTACTTTCATTTTTATGATGAAGAAAATGGATACATTCATGGGAGAAAATAAATATATTTGGAAAGTATCGAATTTGGGGAAAATAATACTATCTAATACTCGGCCTTCCAGATTTGTAGATACATGTTACATATATGTATATGTATATAGGCCTCTAAGTTTATTCAAAAGATGGACATGTAAAAATAAATAGATATTCACTGTTTTATCTATTTTTGCACCATTTGGGTCAACTGGTGAAAATGTTTTAGCAGGGTAGCTGAAAATGAACTGAATACAATCAAGTGAAAATTGAAGATTTTACAAGTTGGACCATTTTTTTTTTTTTTAACTTGGGTTCCAGTTTCTCCACATCTTGACACTTGTTTTAACTTTTAGTGGTCACTGGTCACATGAGATGGCATGAGATGTGGCATCGTGGTGGTTGTGATTTACAGTCAACAATTTCATTGCTATCTTTCATGCATTTATAAGCAATGTCACATTTTGTTTGGAGAAATGCCTAAGTGAACTCCTTTTTTGTATTTTTGTTGTTGTTGCTTATTTTTTAGTTGTCTTTTCGCTGTGACACTGTGGGAATTGTGTACATTCTGTTTGCTAAACATATGTCAGATTTTGATTTACAGTGAGTCTGCCCATTCTGTGGGGTTTTGCTTTAACTTTGTTTTTTTTTTTTTTTTTTTTTTTTTTT